CCACTGCTTTTATGAAGTGGTTGCCAGGTTTTCACAACAAAACCCGCCCAATCGCGTTTCGAGGGGGTCCCCGTTAAAAATCGCGTTCCGAGGATAAAATGTTTTGGTGGGGTTCCCCTGCTAAAATTCGCATTCCAGGGCCTAAATATCACGTTAGTGGGGTCGTTTTTCAACCCGCGGACATGAAAAACAACCCGCGGCAACAGTGTTAAAGCAGCCCAATTCCGCGGGAAAACCACGGACTTGGCAACACTGGAAGAGGATAGCTTTCGTTTAGCGCATCAAGAACCGGGTTGACCGGGTACTCGGTACCACCGGTACTTAAGAAAACCTGGTACCGTAACGTTTTCATTTTTTTAGTACCGACTTGGTACCGAAATACCGGGTCTTTTGACAACACTAGTGTAATACATCAAATGTTATGCTGCTTTTGTTTCTGTTAAGGCAAGACATCACAGGTTAAAAGGGTTAAAATGTTAATTAATTTTTGATTACAGCACAAGACCATTGTTTTGTGAAATTGTTTAGATATGAAATTCAGGCATTATTGAATTAAATATGCACATATTTCAGTACGTTTTTAGAAAAGAAAATCCTTTTGTTGGCATATTAGAGTTACAGGTTTTTATAGAGGGGATTTTAGATCTCTTTTTATCACTCCATATATTAGAAAATACTGTCGAAAGCCAGCGAGAAAAAAAATAGTGTTTTTAGGAATAAAATATTGTATAAATCAGGTGAATTGTGTATGATAGAAATAAAATGGTGCTGCTGATGTGGAGATTTCTGACAATACAAAAAACCCAGATGCAAATAGACAAAGTGTAATAAAATAAACACTTAAATGGGTATTTGGCTGTTTTCTTCCTACTAAAAGACATGTTATGAAAGCAAAATTGTTGTTAATGAAGACCAACATGCGTGCATGAAAAAAAAAAACAATGGCTGTAGTGTCTTGCCTAAAGATTTCTTCAAAATGTGGTATTAGGATTGATTTGGTGCTGAAGTATTGTAACGTTTACCATCCCTACATTTGTTTGTGCGCAGGTGGTCAAGTGGTGAACCTAATGAACCAGCGTTTGCAGACGGGCTTCAGTGAACAGGAAGCGCTCCAGATCTTCTGTGACAATTGTGAAGCTGTGGCACGTCTGCACCAGTACAAAACTCCCATAATCCACCGAGACCTCAAGGTTACTTTATTTTCAGCTATGTTTTCTCTGCTCTTCCCCTTCCTTTTTAACTTCTCATACTAGCAACACTTGTGTGAGTGAATATTTAAGTTTGAGTCATTGATGGAATGAATTATAGTTAACAGCCATTTGTGACTGACTGTTACCATGGTAAAAACCACTTCAGAGCAAACACTTGATTAGCAGGCGAACTGCACTCCTTGTGCTTTTTCTCAAATGGGTTATTTCTAGTGGTCGACCGATATTGGTTTTTTGACTGCCGATATCTTGGAAAGCAGGGTGGCCGATGTCTGATATAAAGCCAATATAATTGTATTTATTTTAATTCATATTTAAGAAATTTGAAATAATTTGAAAATGGATTAAAAAATAAATTTGTAAAATAAACATACTTCAGATGACAAAATATTTTCCATAAATAAATAATTAATAAAAATATAATTAAAAATGAAGTAAACTGTAACCAACTGAGCACTCAGTATTCTGGGAAGTTTGTGTGCACTGGGAATCATATTTTTTCAAATAAAGCCAAGCTAACACTCATTTACATACAGCACACAGTGAAAATGACATGAATATGACAGTGGGCAAATGCATAAAGCGCAGCATAATTTGAAATCACAAATTTAATGTTTAAAGCATTCAATTTGCACTGACCGAAATCATGCAGGTCGCATGCACACTTCACAAGATCTCACAACTGGATTAAATAAAGCCAAGGTAACACTCATAACACACATCATTCATACAGCACACAGTGAAAATGACATGAATATGACAGTGGGCAAATGCATAAAGCGCAGCATAATTTGAAATCACAAATTTAATGTTTAAAGCATTCAATTTGCACTGACCGAAATCATGCAGGTCGCATGCACACTTCACAAGATCTCACAACTAGATTCGACTAAGTTTGCAAGGTTTGTGAAATAAAATTTTCATTAGCCATTCAAAGATTTGTTTAAATGATATAAATGCGTATTTGCTAAATGCTGACGGCAATCGAGAAAGTATTATAATGTTAGCCTTTCTATTACTAATAATATAAAAGCAATCGTTATAATACTTTTTGTATACATTTTAATTCCTTTGTTTAACAGTTCTATTATTAGACAGACTTCTATCCATATTAGACAGAACTGTTAAGGATGACAGCGAACAAGATGGAGAATGTGAGCACTGTGCGCTCAGGCGCTGCCGTCCGGTGCGGCGTCAAAATAAAAGTCCCGCCTCGAACGCATTGGCCAAACAGGAAAACTTATCGGGCGATGCCGATATTTGAAAAATACCAAATATCGGCCGATATATCGGTCGACCACTAGTTTTTTCATTAGCTTAAACCACTAGTTTTTTCATTAGCTTAAGATGCAGTGTTGTACCGGAGTGTAATTTGTGTTTTTTAAATATCACCTGTAATATCTGTCTCTCTTTGCAGGTGGAAAACATCCTCCTTCATGACCGAGGACACTATGTTCTGTGTGATTTTGGCAGTGCCACCATGAAGTTCCAGAACCCCCAGAGTGAAGGAGTGACTGTGGTGGAGGACGAAATTAAAAAGTAATTCTTTCCAATCAGCCGGTTTCTGTGAAATTGAAATAATTTTAGAACCAGTGGCAGTCTGTCAGAAGAGATTTTACTCATAAAATGAACCGTTTTAATCAATTTCAAAACTGTTCAAAAGTTTGGCGTCAGTAAGGTGTTGGAAATTAATACTTATATGGAGTAAAGATACATTGTATTGATTAAAAGTGACAGTAAAGACGTTCGTAATGTGTATGTGTGCGGGAGTCTAGATTTCAGTTTCAAATAAAAAAAGATGTATCATGGTTTCAACAATAATGTGAAAAGCAGCACAATAACTGTTAGCATTGATAAAAAGAAGAAAAGTGTCATGAGCAGCAAATCGGCATATTAGATGGATTTCTGAAGGATCACTGAAGGATGTGACACTGAAAACTGGAGTAATGATGCTGAAAATTCAGCTTTGCATCACAGGAATAAATTGCATATTAACATAGTATTAGGGATGGTACGATTATCGGGTTGATGATAAATCATGATAAAATTCTCCACGGTTAGTATTACCGTTCCATATTTTAATTAGCATTAAAACCGTATTCGATAACCGCGATTTGAACAACTGAGGATAAATAAATACTGTCCAGCATAAAGCACAATGTACTTAAGTAACAGTCACACGTGAGCACAGCATGCAGCATAGTTTCGTTTTGTGTGAAAACATGACGGAAAAGCTGGGAGGTTTTAAAAGAGTGCTAAGGGAATTATACAAATGAATATATAAATGAATTAATTATAAGAATGTACCTCTGAAGGTTCTGACTGTCTTCAGAAAAGATGCTATGGCATTTTGTTTTCATCTTCACTCCAAGTTAGTGTTCTTAATTGCAATGCTGCCTGGTCCACGGAGGTTACGGAAACAGCTGTAATTCTGCTATTCTATAAGCGCCACCTAGTGTCAGAGAGTGGATTTAAAGAGAGTTATATTTACATTCAACCTGTGTGCAATTTTATTTGGGGGCCAAAAAACGGACCGAATTTGCATGCCCTGCTGTAAACTTTGATCCAGTTGACAAAAAACAAACTTATGTGGATTTTACACATTTAAAAAATTCGGATTAGGTATAAAGAATGAATTATGGAGCAGATAAAATACATATAATTATGTATTAATCAATTATCACTTTGACTTGACCCCTCTTTTTATTTAAGGGCTGAAAAGTGAGGTTTACCATTTTATGAAACTTTTTCAAAGCTTTATTTGAACATTTTGTACATGCTATTAGATAAACTTGTCAGTCATGTTGTCATTTAAAATTTGGACATCATTGGTAATGTTATTGTTTAAGTGTTTATGCCAACAAAAAATTCATTTTTATTCGTTTTTTGTTGATTTTAAATACAAAACTTGGTTAAAAGATTTATGTGTCAGTACTTTTTGAACATTTCCAGCACAATAACATGATAATGGTAACTATGATCATTTTGGTCACTATACTCGTGATAAGAAATTTTCATGCCATTACATCTCTACATAGTATTAAAACAGTTATTTAAATAAATTAAATAATATTTCACAATATTACTGTTTTTTTGTGAGCATAAGATACTACTTTCAAAAATATAAAATCAATTTGACTAACCCTAACCTTTTGAACAGTAGTGTATGTTTGGACGAGTCTAATTTTCAACAAAACACATGATAGATATGATGGTACATATGATTCTCCCTTGAAAAATTTCAGATTGGCACTGTTTATAACAGCATTTTACTTTAGTTAATTTATTGACGTTTCTTATTAACTATTGGAAGTTGACAAATTGCTTGTGATGTGCAATTGCTTTTGATAAAAGTGTTTAGTAAACGAATCAATGTAAATAATGTTTAACACATTAAAAAACTGGCATAGAATATATTGTATTGTCTGCTTCCAATACAGCCGACATTATACTGTCATTAATTAAAAACAAAAAATACTACATTGAACAATTCAATTATGGTCACAGATATATCATGCGTTTAAAAAAAAAAAAAATGTTACTATACATTGTTTTATTAAAATGTCTGTTTTGTTTAGGTACACAACACTGTCCTATCGCGCTCCTGAAATGGTGAATCTGTACAACGGCAAAATCATCACCACTAAAGCAGATATCTGGGTAAGTAAAGATATAAAAGCAGTCAGTCAGAAGTCAGTGGCTTTTTCATCCCAGTTTTGAATCGATCTTTTTTGCCTAAATCAACACCTGAATGGCTACTAGGCTACTGGTTATAATAATGTCAGCGTTCCAGAAGAAATTACAAATTGACCAGACTTTGTATTTAACAAGTAAGTGTATAGTCAGCTTTTGGTATCATATTGTATGTACCAATAAGGCTTTACACAGTGGGTGAGGAATGGATGCGCAGTGTAAATAGAAGCCAAGTGACTGACAAAATGTCTCTGCTTTTCATTGTTGTTAACGAGCCGGAAAAAGCTCACGTTACACCTCTCTTCATCAGTTTACACTGGCTACCAGTAGCTGCTTGCATCAAATTCAAGGTATTGATGTTTGCCTACAAGACAACAACTGGCGCTGCACCAATATACCTAAACTCACTAGTTCAGACCTATGCGCCCTCCAGAAGCTTGCGGTTTTTTTTGAGTCTTTGGCCATTTTCAAAAAACATCTAAAGACACATCTTTTTCGCCAGCAACCTGACAAACTAATACTAGCACTTACCTATTCTATTCTCAAAAAAAAAAAACTAGCTATGTGTACTGTGCTAGACTAACTGAGACTTGTCACAGCACTTGTATACTGATTGCTTCTATTGTTCTCCTCATTTGTAAGCCGCTTTGGATATGTTGTGGCTGGTTAGAACAGAAGCTCCGATTTATGTGGAAGGGATAGTACTTGATGCTTTATTTTTGAGCATTTGGATAATGTAAGTGTAAAAGTCAGAGAGGAACAAAATTACAATGTTTGTTTTGTGTACCATAAACTTGAAATAATAAAATTCTACAGAAAGTTAGAATATGTCTCTTAAAGCATACAACAAGAGTATTCTGGTCTTTATGAATTGCCTTTGAATGTATTTTTAAAGTCTTTCAAAGCTAGACTAATCTGATATAAAAGTGGTAGTAATAATGTTTCATTATCTTTATTCAAGGTTATTATATTGTATAAAGGCCTCAGTCAAAAGTCTTTTCCCCCATACTGTGTAATGACTTTTTTTCTTTCTTTCAGGCAATGGGCTGTCTGCTTTATAAACTCTGTTTTTTCACATTGCCCTTCGGCGAGAGTCAGGTGGCCATCTGTGATGGCAACTTCACTATTCCAGACAATTCTCGTTACTCACAGGACATGCACCGTCTCATCCGTAAGTATTTGCCTCTCTCTGCTCATGTCTCACACTAGGTTTCTGTCTCTGTCTCACCGCTGGCTCAGTATGGCTGTGGGTCTCACTTGAATGTTATAGTTCAGCCAGAAGTGAAATTTCTAGTAGTTTATGCACCCTCATGTCATTTCTTTCCTCCATTGAACACAAAATTGAAATCCTTGAAAATCCTTGTCATTAATGAAAGCAAAGGTGACTCGTTATGAAATTAGATTACTTGTGCCATCTAAAATGTCAAAGCAATCACTGTCAATGAGTTGTGTGCTATATTTATAGTCTTCTGAAATTATGAAGTAGTTTTAGGTTAGGAACAGTAAAATATCTTCAGTATCTTCTCTTCTTGTACCTGGTGAATAACAAACATTGATGACAACATTGATTGCCAATGTTGTTTGTTTTGGAGACATGCAGGAAACAATGGTGTTTGGCTTTAAATGGTGTCGGCACTTCATTATAATGGTCTGTACAATTTTTGAAGTCCATTTTAGAGCTTTATTGGAGTATCATACGTTTACGGTTACATTTACTAATTTAGCAAATGTTTTATCCAAATCAACTTAAAATGAGGAATACAACAAGCGATTCATCAAGAAGAGGCAACGAACACTAGAAGTGCAAATAATGCAAAGTTTCAGACCTTGTTTATAACAGTACAAGCTTTTTTTTGTGTTTTCAGATGTTTCTTGATTTTTGTCAGGGATTCAGTGTTGTAGTTACATTTATTAATTTAGCAGACACTTTTATCCAAAGTGACTTAGCCATTCATCACAAGACAAGAGGCAAATAAACATGCGAAGTAGGGATGTAACAATTAAATCAACTCACAATGTGATACAACTTCACAATACACAATACATCCCAAGCCAGTACTGATCAACATCCCACCTCTCCTGTTGACCCATGGTTTGTCTGTATGTGTATTCGGAGCTTTAACGTTAACTTACCAAGCCCTAATATATATATATATATATGCATATA